GCCTGTGTTAGCCAACCCCGTCTCAGATAATGACACCATTTTTGAATACATCTAAAATTCAAGTCATCCTCCCATCAAAGTGGTGATCCGGTAAGGAAGGTCCATGAAAACATGCCTATTTAGCCGAACTCTTTGCAAGAAGCAAGCAAGATAGTCTTATTAGTGTTTTTCTCTCAGACTTGCTATCTGATTTCTATTGGGATGTATAACTATTTAGCGGTTTAAATCCCATTGTTCATCTTATTTCCTGCTCTGGTTTGTTTTCAATTGCTAGATACAAGTACACAGAATCGGGTGTCATTTTTAACATTCTCAGATGCAACTAATCCTCTCTTGCTTATTATTTAGTAATCAACACCTGCCAATAGGATTTGGGAGTCCCAAAAGACAGATTTTCCAGAAAGATTTTTATATTTTTATATTTTCAATGACATTCTAGTCTCCAAAAGCTTTTTGTTAAATTCAAAGAACCCTACTCTACAGATAGATCTAAAGTTTCAATTCAGTTACCTTAAATTATATGGACATGGTTCCGAAAGAACAGAGGGGTACCTCGCTCTGCTCAGTATTTTTAAAAACATCATGTTTTTAAAGAAAGAAGCAATACAAAATAAATTTATGGAAATGTATTATATGCACACACACAGATGACAATAAACATATACTTTTACCAGAAATGCCTCTGAGAGAGGAAGTTTATCTTAAAGAGTTATTAAAATTGATAGTGTCCCAAAGGTAACTTTAGAATGAAATACAGATAGTTTGAACCCGTACAATTTGACCTTGATCTTACTAAAATAATTCCCACAGTCAAGGTGCTAATACCATCACAATTATTGCTGCTATTATTATAGATGGTTTTAAAACACACAAGGAGTAGGAAAAGAAAGATAACTGACATTTTAAAGAAAGCCTGTTCTTGGAATTACTTCTCTAAAACCATTCTGTTCGTATTACCTTTAGTGCGCTATAAGTTTATTGGAAGCTGATGTTTTTTATCCCGTATGATTGGGTCATCCTAAGAATGAAAATTTAAGCAAAATCAATACACTCAATACCATGTTCTAGAGTAAATATACAGAAGTGTTTCTTGTAATGGATTTTACTGGCAATGACAAGCCATTTTTTATGTAACAGCTTTAATATTTTGTAATCATTAAAGTTCACTGAAGCAACGGGGAAATTGGGAAAAGAGGTCAGGAAAATTCATATATAGAAAGAGAGGAGATATGTCCCTCTGTATCACCCTGCTATGTAATCAAACCGGAGTCAAAAAGCTATTGGAGAATGCAACCCTTGAATCAGAGCAAAGATAAAAATGTGTTTCTAAAGGATATGAAAGCTTATCCATACATAATGCAGTAAAAACATCAAAAGGTGTCTACAGTGATGTTTTAAATGCTTTCTTATCTTGGGAGAGTACTTTCTGTGATTTAATTGATAATCAACCATACCTGGAGCAAAGAACAGATGATAAAAATGAAGTGTGTTCCCCATGATAATATTAAGAGGGAAATAAATATATGAAAGCTTATTTTCAGACTTGTAGTCTAAATCCAATCTAAGAGGAAATTCATATTGACATCACAAGGAGAATTCGTTGAGACAGTCTTTTTTAATTTCAGGCATGCTATATTTGAATTTTTCCCCCTAAAAATATGTATGCTCAATCTTAGAAGAAGTGATCCTTTGTGCTGCCAAAGCTATTTTTGAGTAGCTGCCTAACAATTTCCATGGTCATTACTGGAAAAGGTTATACAGAAGTTCTCCCTTTTCTACAGGGATACATTCAAAGACCCCCAGTGGATGTCGGAAACCATGGATAGTTCCAACCCTATATATTATAACTGTTTTTTTTCTATACATACATACACACCTTCAATAAAATTTACTTTTTAAAAAAATAATTATTTTGCAAATTAGGTACATTAAGAGATTAACAACAATATTTGATAAAAATATAATGAAATTATAATAATATATTGTAATAAAAATTATATGAAATGAGGTCTCCCAAAATATTTTGTGTTTTACACATCCTTCTTGCAATAATGCGAGATGATAAAATACCTGCATGATGAGAAGTGAGGTGAGGGACGTAGACACTATGATGTAATGTAAGGCTACTATTGACCACCTGGTGATAAGTCAGAGGGAGATCATCTGCTTCCAGATCACGTTGTTGACTTCAGGTAACCCAAACCATGGAAAATAAAACTGTGGATAAGGGGCACTGTTGTAATCAGAACTACTCAGTTTGGTGTTCAAAACTCTCCATAATCTGGTCCAAATAAATTTTTTAGGCAGTTCTGGCATAAAAAAATTAATTAACTTCAATTTGAACAAGTCAAATTTGTACACTTTCTTTCACAGCAATCTTCAGGAAAATGACAGCAACCTTCTAACTGGACCCTAAAATTCCTTTAGAATGGTGTAATTACTTGAGTCAATTGGAGAATGTGAAACCTGCTAGTGACCACAGAGTTGGGATCACAAAAAAGAGAGAACAACTTGAATTTGAGACAGTGTCACCCTAAGCTTAAATTTTTAAGTGATTTATTTTAATTTTACTGGTTCAGATGAGTATGTTCCCTCATCTAAAATAATTAGTATTAAAATCCAAGGTCCAATAAAAAATGGAATAAAATTTAACTATTTGATTGGGCAAATTTCTAATAAAAGAGGTATTTTAGTGTTTATTCACTGAATTGATAAAAACATACATGATCACAAAAGAAAATTACCTAATTATTATGGTAAATAAGGTCATTGTAATAAGTATAGCAAAATAGAAAAACTATTATGTGAGAAGTACTTGGCAAATAAAAACTTCTTATCTATTGGGAATGACGCTTTTACAATAAAAAACATATATATCTACACATAATTTTACATAAAATTCCCAATATAAATGATTCATTGTAAGATTAATCACTTATTTTAAAATTTCACAGTCTAGCATATAACTCATTGATCTACTTATTATCCATAAACATAAAGGTGGTATCTTGTGAACCATATATTAAAGAGATAATAGTGATTTAAACAAAAAAGTATGATTATTTTATAACACACACAAAATGATTATATTACATATAATCATTCTAGTATGTTAAAAATCAAAGAAATATATATGTGCAAAAGTAGGAAAAGATTATAATCAGTGGACTCCAGTAACTGAGTTTTAAACTGGAGAGTTTTATTGTAGTAGATATGTGGATGGAAAATATTCACGAGCTTCACTATCTTAATACTTTAAGTGAAAAAAATTCTTGAAATGATAAGATAAATTGTAATATGTCAGATAACTTTATCAATAAAGAAATATAACTAAAAAGGCAAGCATACATATCCTTATATATGCATCCTTTGTACCCATGATGAAAAAACACATTGCCATACCAAATGGAAATGAATGGAAAGAGCCTTACCTAAGGACAAAAATCTTCTGGAATTATTTAGTGGATGTAAAAATAAAGGCCTAATCCACCTTACAACAATCTTTGGGTTTCCTGATATTCAGCCCTAGCTCCCAGATGACACTGTGTTTCCCATTAGTAGACAGTCATGGTGAAGTCCAAGTGTGTGCCCAGGTGTTTACGTGCACACACCTATACATGCACCAGAAGCATGTATGTGCACGTGAGCAGAGAGTCAATGTCAGATTAAGAGAAAGAGATTTTTAAGAACACATAAAATAATGTGAGGAAATTTACATTCTAAAAGCCAAAATGTTTCTTTGGTATAAATGCTATCCTTAAATTTAATTTTAATTTTTACAGAATTAAGAAATAAAACTTTTTCCCAACTGATTTTAATTTAACGAATGTGAAATAACTAACAGGGATGACTTTATATAGATGTGTCAGTATACGTAAATGCACATGCACTCACGTTGTCAAACTTTCCCCCTCACTCCCCCAAATCAGAAATAAGTAAAACTCCCCTCACTGTAACACCATCTGTTTAAGGACTTTACTTGTATTTTCTCTCCATTTCCATTCATTTCCATACAGAAATAATGCAACCTGTTCTCTTTTTCTGGCATGAAGTAAAGCAACACAAATAAATATGACAGTAATTGTTAAATTGCCATAACATACATGTATATTTTTCAAGCACCACAAAATCCTAATAAAATAATTTTCTCCACTGGCTTGTGCCCCTTGTGTAGAAATTAAACTGCGCAGAAACCAATCAAATCTCTCAAAAGCATTCAAATGAGTCAGGCTTGGACAATATACACTTCAGACATAGAAAAATATAATGTGATGAACTAAAATTTCACCTGAGATAGATACTTCTTTCTGTCTTTCACTTAATCCATCTAGTTATTTCAAATTTCAATGTGTTTTCTGTATCAGAGTCATGTGTACAGATTTTACAAAGTAATGTGTAAAGAAGCCTTAGATATATTTCCATAAAATAACACTTCTAATATGGAGTGTAATTGCTTGTCCAAAGTGAAAGAAGAATTTGTGGACCCAGTTTCTCAGGTGAAACACAGATTCTTCTTCAGGCTACAACAGTCACATGGCTTGTTCTATATCCACAACCAACATCCAAGGAAAATAAACAAACCTCTTTTCTATACCAGCTCTCTCTCCAGTCCACCAATTTCTTCCCTAGTATTTCCTACACTCACTCCAAAGTGAAATTTGTATAAGAGGTGATTTTTTTTTTTACATTAAGTAATTAAGAACTGGAGCACTTAAACTCACTGAAGAACAATAATAAACGTGAAATGTGAAAAACCTTGATATAGATGAACAGTTAGATTCTTTTTTCAATCCTTAATGTTACACAGCTTTTCCTGAAATACTAATAGTACTGATGCAGAGATAATAGAATAACTTACTTATTCACTATGCTACTTTTCTTTAAAGAAATAAAGTCTACAAGTTCTGCATTTATGTGTGTATAGTCTTACGAGTGCCATCATCTAACAAGTAAAATTCGGATCACAGAGCAGAAAGCTAGCAGATGAAGAAATTGCTCACCTGGAGGAAGCAGATCAACAGACTGAAGTCTAGTTGTGATGGTGTGTAGGGTGAGGATAGCAAAGGAAAGCAAAGTCGGGAATGCTTGAAAAATAAAATATTTTTAGTTAACAAATAGAAAAACCAAGTGGGAAAAAAGGGCCAATTGAATCACGAATCCTTCTCTATTGATTGCAATTTTTATATTAAAATCTGTTCAACTGATCAATCCCTAAAAGATATGGTCATTGGTAATTTCCCCAGATATGTAAAACTTAGTGTTATTGGAAGAAATTTACTTCAGGAGAGTATTTCAGTTTCGATGAGAGAGAAACAATGCAAAGTAACCAAATGAACGCCTAGGTCAATGGGAAAAATATGCTTGTGATGATGGACTTATTTATCCTGCACAAAATGAAAACTTCTCTATAATACTGGCTAGAAGATGTAAAGAAGCAGGCCACCAAATCAGTTGCAGACTGTCTGTTCTTTAATATCTCTAGAGAATAAGGCTTTAATAAAAATGTTCACTGCTAGTGAAATTTCGATGTGTATTGTCTGGAACTTGAAACGACAGCCTATTTGAAACTTAGCCCTTTATTCAGTCACTTAGAAACCCTCAATTTTTAAAAGCATATTGACTTCAGTAATGAGAAATACATATATTTCTGTAACAATCTCAACTCTTTTCTTTTTTTACCCAACATACAAATGTTATTTTTATAAAATTCAAAGAAATGCTGCATTTTGTTTTTGTTTTGCTTTTTAAGAACCTCTAACTTAGGCATATATGGACGTATAATTTATCAGTTTCTTAGGCAAAAAAAGAGAACACTTTGTTTGCATCTAAATGCACAGTGACTATATGAAATCGATTGCCATCTAAAAGCCCTGCCAAAAAAAAAAAAAAAAAAAAGCCTGTTGGTGAGCAAAGTAGCTTTAGTTTTTAAATAGTCTCATTTTCTTATTTTCAACCTTTATTCAACATCTGTTGTTTGCCCCTCCCCTGGAATGTAATTATGCAGGATTCCAATGTAAAACAGGTTGAGTAGTTAATAACACGCAGCTCAAACATTTTTCCACACTGTTGCCCTGCAGATGTTTTCTTTCATTTTTTTTCTTTTCTCCCCTGGTTTTGTGTTTAATTTGTGTATGTTTCTCTTCTATTCTTAAAGTATATTCCCACAACAGATGGAAACACCTGAAAATAAGTTTCCCTCATGCACATGTTTAAACGATGCCTATTGTGCTATTTAACACAGAAAAGAAAATACAGAATATATAGAATATTGGTTTACAGAAAAATATAAATAATCTGTAAGCTACTTTCTTACTATGTTCAATTTAAAATTCTGAAATGATAACCTAGTTTTTACCAAAGACATATGAGGAAAAGCTTATAGTCTACAACCCTCATTTATTCTTATTTTGTTACCAGACTCATTTGCCTTTTTTGCTTTTGACACAATTCTCTTAAGTTTTCAATCCTACCATAAATTGGACTTTTTTTTTCTATCCACTGACCATTTTACTATGCAAAAGGCACTTTATATTCACCTGATAATAATTCAAACTCAGTAATCAATACCTAACATATTTTAGATATGTTCAAGGTATAGCATTTATTTTTAAAGTAATATAACAAGAATCATATAAGTATAGAACTCTTTTGTTCAGAAAAATATATTTCATTGAAATTAAAGAGTATAGGGTTGGATATTGTCCCCCAGCAGTCATGTCCACCAGGAACATTAGAATATGACCTTATTTGGAAAGAGGGTCCTTGCAAATGTAATTACTTAAGATGAAGTCATACTGGATTAGAGTGGGCCCTAATCCAAAGTATGATGTTCTTAAAAGAAAACTGAGACACAGAGACAGTCATACAGAGAAAATGTCATGTGAAGATAGGAGAGATTAGTGTATTAAGCCTGGCATTGCCTCAACCACCAGAAGTAGCTAGAGGCAAGGGAGGACCCTCCTCTAGAGTCATTAGAGACCCCTGATGATACCCTGATTTTGGACTTCTGACCTCCAGAACTGGGAGAGAATAAATTTCTGTTATTTTAAGCCACCCAGTATATTATTTTGTTATGGCAGCCCTCCAGTACTGATTCTGGTATCTGGAAGTGATGTGTTGTTGGAGCAAATACCTAAAAATGTGGAAGTGGGTAATGGTAATAAGCTAGAAGAGTTTTGAGATGCATGATTTTTAGAAGCCTAGATTGCCTTGAGGAAACTATTGGAAAAAATATAGACTTATTGGGAAATAACTTATTGGGAAATTCTTAATGATTCTGCTCATAGCTCAGTCAGAAGTGAGAACAGCTAGAGGGAAAGTTTCTATCATCTTTAAGGATAACATGTGGCTTTACCATCAAGAAAAGAAAGTACACAGAAATATGAATGTTAAAGGCGTTTCTCATAAGGTCTCAAATGGAAATGTTATTGGACAGTAGAAAGCAATCCTTGCTATAAAGTGGCAGGAAACCTGGACAAAATGCTGGTTGAAAAGGAGAAATTATAACTGATGAATTTGTGTGTTTAGCTAAAGAGCTTTCTGAGCAAAGTGTAGTAGATGCAGCCTGATTTCTCCTTTCTGGCTATAGTAAATGTGAGAACAAAGAGATCAATTAAGGAACGAACTTCCAAGCAAAAAGGAACCAACATCTGATTTGGAAAATTCTCTGCCTATCCAGATAATGTGCTCAGGAAACAAGGGCAAGGGTGTGGCTAGACAGCCGTTTGCTATAGAGATTAAGATGTGATTTATGGATCCAATCAACCATCATCATAAGAGAAGTCAGGATTAGAGATAAGGTCACTGAGGAAAGATCTGTGGAGAACATACTTGTCTAATGATGTGAATCCCTTCAACCTCCACAGAAGACAAATAGTCACTGAGAATTTTATGTAACACTGCTAATGCGGACTGAAAAGGACAGAGATGAGACAAAATGAAGGAAAAATTATGCTAAAGTACAGCCACAGATACGAGGACTAGGAAGGGTGGGTTACTGTCCCAGAGGGTCAAGAGGACTTACGGCATCCAGCACCAGAACACAGAGAATTACTCCCAGGCCTTGAAATCTAATAGAATTTGCCTTTCTACATTGCCAACTTCTTTTAGATTAGTAACCCCTTTATTCCTTCCATTTTCTCCCATTTAGAAAGAAAATGTCTACTCAATGCTTGTTCCACCATTGTGTTTTGGAAACAAGTAATCTCCTTTCCAGTTTGATAGGTCTGTGGAAGAAGAAGAATGTTGCTC